TATGTGAAGCTCACTGTCCCAGTCTTACCCCTTTCTCCGGTGCCATCTCTCCACAGTGGCTGGTGTGGCTCACCGATTCCACAGTACTTGTGGCAAGAATGTCACTTTGGAGGAAGATGGCACGAGGGCGGTGCGTGCAGCTGGCTATGCTCATGGCCTCGTCTTCAGCACCAAGGAGCTCAGGGCTGAGGAAGTCTTTGAGGTGGGCTGTGGATATGTAACAGAGGCTCTCAGGCCCTTCGTAACAGAGCCAGACTGCTTCCTACCTTCCTGCCGTCATCTGATACCAACTAATATTTTCTTTCTCACACAGGTGAAAGTGGAAGAGCTGGATGAGAAGTGGGCAGGTTCCCTCCGGCTGGGGCTGACCACACTAGCACCAGGGGAGATGGGACCTGGAACAGGCGGTGGCCCTGGGCTGCCTCCTTCTCTACCAGAACTCCGGACTAAGACCACCTGGATGGTGTCCAGCTGTGAAGTGAGGCGCGATGGGCAGCTTCAGAGGATGAATTATGGCCGGAACCTAGAGAGGCTAGGGGTGAAGTAGCTGGATCCAGGAACAAGGATTGGGAGTGGGATTGGTGGTGGCAGAGAGAGGTAGGCTGAGTATCTGTCCTTGTCTCACCTTGGTTCTAGGTGGGAAGTCGTGTGGGCATTCGGCGGGGGACAGATGACACAATGCACATTGTGATAGATGGAGAGGATATGGGGCCTGCAGCCACTGGCGTTGCCAAGGTAGACCCAAAAGTTGCCTTGGATTTTGGGAGTGGGGTTGAAATCTTCCACTCATCTCCTACTTCCTGGGTCTTGTGTGTCCCCAGAACGTGTGGGCTGTGTTGGATCTATACGGGCCAGTGCGGAGTGTGTCTATTGTCAGCTCTGCAAGGCTAGAGGAGCCAGAAGGCACCCGGCCTCCTTCCCCCAGCTCAGACACCGGAAGTGAGGGCGAGGAGGACAACGAGGGCGAGGAGCATGGCCTGGGAGTAAGAGGCTGCAGCAGGGCCCTTTGGGCACATGGATGAGTGGTTGATGGGCCATTGGCCACCAGGTTGTTTTTGGGTTCTCCGATCATGTCCTGGGTGGGCAGAGGCTTACACACAAGCTCTGTGTGAACTCCACTGGGATGTCTCGGACTTCACATTGGCAACCCCAGCAGCTTAGTCTTTCTTCCACACCAGGGCCAGGATCAAGTCGCCATTATGCATACAGCCCTCGAGTTCCTGGAGAACCATGGAAAGAATATCCTCTTGTCCAATGGGAACCGTACAGCTACGCGGGTGGCCAGTTACAATCAGGGCATTGTTGTCATCAGCCAGCCCCTAGTGCCCCAGCTGCTTGTCCAGGTGGGCCTTGCCTCATTACCCCCAGCAACTTACTCACGGTGACCCAGGGCCAGCCCTCCTAGAACAGAGCCTTTCCAGGTTGAGGACAAAGTGGAAGGCCAGCCCCTTGGATGTACTTCCCAGGCTTTTGTTCATTCCTTGTGATAGGAGTTGCAGGTCGGTTACCAGGAAGCACCTACCTGGTAACTGTAGTGAGGGAAGCAGTAGGGAGGAGTTAATGGAGCCTAAGGGAGATGCCTGATTCTGAATGTGAGAGCAAGGAGGGCTTTCCAGAAGAGGGGCTTTTTTGCAGCAAACTAAAAGGGGTTAGTGTTAGGGGAAAGAAGTCCCTAGGGACAAGAATCTTTACAGAGTCAACAGCAAGACCAAGGCTGAAAGAGGGAAGGAAACAAGTGAATCTGTAGTTTCTGATCCCTCTAAATGTCAGAAGAGGCAGCATCCCAGGCCACACTCTGAGAGATGTTATCTTCTCTCCCTGGCTGGGGTGAGGAGCATGGGTCTGCTGGGAGGGTGGCCTCTCATCAGGAGGCCATAACTGGGGAGTAGTCACCTTTTCCCCCAGGTGCGGATAGACTTCCTGAATCGGCAGTGGACATCTTCCCTTGTCCTGGGAGTCATCACATGCCCACCTGAGAGGCTCAACTTCCCTGCCTCTGCCTGTGCCCTCAAACGGGCAGCCTGGCTGCTGCGGGGCCGAGGGGTCTTCCACAATGGCCTCAAGGTAGGTAGGGGAAAGAAGGGAGAGACCAGGTCTCGGAGTAGGGAGGGGCTAGCCACAAGGGCGTGAATGTCATTACCTGGACAGTATTGGAGTTGCTGCCTCCTATGTCCTTGCCTTTGAAATGTTGCAGTGGGGGAGAGGGAAGGTGGAATCTAGGTCATTGAAGCAGAGGGTAGAGCCCAGGCATTGGGCAAATGTGGAGGCAAAGCCCAGGGACTGGCAACTCGAAGCTGAGTGAAGCATGGGGGTGGCTATTGCTGATAGGATTCTGATCTCTGGGAAGACAACAGATCTCTCCTCCCAGATCTGTGAGAAGTTTGGGCCAAACCTGGACACGTGTCCTGAAGGCACCATCTTGGGACTGCGGCTAGACAGCTCTGGGGGGCTGCATCTCCATGTCAATGGGATGGACCAGGGGGTGGCTGTGCCAGATGTCCCTCAGCCATGCCATGCACTTGTGGACCTCTATGGGCAATGTGAGCAGGTTAGTGCCAATGGAAGCAGGGAGGAGGGAATGCTTGAGAGATGGCTGTCCAAGAGAAGAGGAACACTATGGTCCAAGGAGGGAATCAGCAGGGCCTGAGGGCTGGTAATGCTCTGCCTGACCATCCCTCTTCTGCAGGTGACAATTGTGAGCCCTGAACCAGGAGCTGCCATTGGGAAAAGTGCTGGAATCCAAGGGGACATGGAGAAAGCTGACATGGTAGATGGTGAGCCAGCCCTAAGGGACCAGGATCCTACCTCACCCCACCTTGTAGTTCTAGCCCCATCTTTTGTGACCTCTGTCCCTCTGCTCCTTCAGGGATCAAGGAGAGTGTGTGCTGGGGTCCACCACCTGCTGCCAGCCCACTCAAGAGCTGCGAATACCATGCTCTTTGCTCCCGTTTCCAGGAACTGCTATTACTTCCTGGTGAGTTCCCAGTCCCCCAGAACCCGCCTCATTCCCTGGACCAGTGCAGGGCCATGTCTAGAGTCCTGGAGATGAGTTAGAAGAAGCTGTGTGGTTGAGACCCCAAGGTGGGAGCCACAGCATTAAGTCTGCCACTGACTCTCCTGCAGAGGATTATTTCATGCCACCACCGAAGCGTAGCCTGTGCTACTGTGAGTCTTGCCGGAAGCTGCGAGGGGACGAGGCCCACAGGCGCCGTGGGGAGCCCCCTCGAGAATACGCCCTACCGTTTGGCTGGTGCAGGTTCAACCTCAGGTACAAATGGGGCGGGGTCATGTGTCTCCCTTACGGTTCTTTGCCTCCTTGAGAAAGAAGTTTAACAAGAGGGTATATGCAAGAAGTAACACAACTTATCTAGGAGATGACCTTGGGGAGCCAATGACCTTTGTCCTATCTGCCCACCTCCTAGGGTGAATCCCCACCTGGAGGCTGGAACACTAACCAAGAAGTGGCACATGGCATATCACGGTAGCAACGTGGCAGTTGTCCGGAGGGTGCTGGACCGAGGAGAGCTGGGAGCAGGTACCATAGCTCTGGTACAGTCAGGGCAGGCCAGGCCTATGGGCCACAGCAGGATTTCCGTGACCCAGTTCTCTTCACAGGGACTGCCTCCATCCTGAGCTGCCGGCCCTTGAAGGGAGAGCCCGGGGGAGAGTTTGAGGAGCCTGGTGAGAACTGTGCACCTCCTCGGGAGGAGCAGCCCCCTCCAGTGCTTCTTTCTCCTTCCCTCCAATATGCTGGGGCTGAGACCCTGGCATCCAAAGTGCAGTGAGTACATGCATGGGAGGGGGCCCCAGCACCACTTGGGTCTCCATGATTTTCCTTCTCTTTTCTCACCTTGTTTTGCTAGTCTTCAGTCCTTTTGTCACTCATTCGTTTAAAAGAAATGCCATTGCTTTTGTGCTATCTCAGTGAACAAAAAAGGGTATCTTGCTCTTGTGGAACTTATATTTTCTCTAAAATGTTATGCATAATAAATATTTAGTATTTTTAAAGGTGACAAGTAGTACTATGGAAACAAAAAGTAGAGTTGGTGGAAATGGATCAGAAGTACAGTTGGAGCAGGCGTATTAAGTACGGTAGCCAGGGTACACATTATGAAGGTGAGATTTGAGCAAAGTCTGGAAAAGGAGGTGAGGGAGTTAGCTGAGCAGGCATTGAGAGGAATACCATTTAGAGAGAACAGCTAGAGCTGTCCCTATAAGATGGGAGTGATTCCTAGGAACGGTGAGGCCAGTGCAGTGGTTGCAGTTAGCAAGGAGACGTGACAGGAACCAGAGACCCCACTGCCCTCCTTCTGCTTCTTGCCTGACAGATTCCGGGACCCCAAATCCCAGCGGACACACCAGGCCCAAGTGGCGTTCCAGGTGTGTGTGCGCCCTGGCTCCTACACCCCTGGCCCTCCTTCTGCTGCCCTCAGAGAACCTCCTGACCCTCACTTCAGCCCAGCCGAACTTGAATGGGTAACCAAGGAGAAGGGGGCCACGCTCCTCTATGCCCTGCTGGTACGGGTGGAATGAGGGGTGAGACCTCACTACTACAAGCACAGTTGGGCTTTGGGCCTGTGGACTCCAGTGACGACTGCCTCCACCTCATTCCAGTGACCCAGGGCATGCACGGTGCTCAGCCTGGCGATGCACAGGAGCATGTAGGCAGGCTCTCAGTTAGATGGAAAGTGGAGCACATGTCCATATCCAGGGCCCAGAACACTCCCTCTGAGGTGAGGGAGTTTGTGGAGAGCCCAGCTCCAGGCCCTGGGTAACACCTCTCATGCACTGATTTGGGGAACACAACTCCTTATGACTCCCTCCCCTGTATCACTTAATTTATTTCCGTTTTTGTTCTTGGTTACTGTGAATCCCAGAGGAGTTTCCCTGTGCCCCACATGAAGCTGCTTTTTTTCAGGGGCCACCGAACAGGAGCGGGGAAGGTGGGGCCCTCTGTACAGTTATGACTCTGATTTCTAAAGAGCCAATAAACAACGTCTGAGAGCATCCGCTTCGCCTCTCAATCATGCGCCCCTCGATCCCGACTTGCCCAGTCAGGGACCTCGCCGCAGAGCCAGAACTAGCTCCCGGAGTCTCGTGGCTGACGCGCGGCCAGGAGCGGCACCTTGGTGTGGTCGGCGCGGGGCAGGCATAGTGGAGGACTTTGGATACCACAGGCACCCGTCTCGTATGCTTCCGCCTTTAACTCCCCGCCCAAACCACGAGGTCCCTATTGCTCTGACCCCGGAAGGATTAATCTCAGTTGCCGGATGTGACGCAGCGGCCAAGGCGCAAAGGGGGCCTCCGAGAAAGCGAAGAGAAGGAGGGTAGGGCGGGGCGGTGGCGGCCGGTGCTGGCGGGGAAGTGGGCGGGAGCGCGGAGGCAGGAAACCCTCGCCCCGCCTGCGCTGAAGCCGCGGCAGGCTACCGGGCCGGGCTGGCGGCGGGTGCCGGACACGTGATCGGGGAGGCAGGCGGGCTTCCGCCAAGGCGGACCAGGCAAGATCCCCGCTGAGCGCCCGCCTCCCTGCAGGCCGGGTCCGAGGTCTGGCAGTCAGCGACAGAGCCGGGCACCCACGGTCCGAGCGTCCCCAGCAGCACCATGCCTGCGCTCCTGGAGCGCCCCAAGCTTTCCAACGCCATGGCCAGGGCGTTACACCGGCACATCATGATGGAGCGGGAGCGCAAGCGGCAGGGTGAGCTGGGGCCAAAGCGGGAGGACATACGCCCAGGGCGGCACCGCTATCCCAGAGCTGACTTCCACCCACGGGCAGACTGATGCACCGCCGGCTGAAGCTAGAAGAGGGATGGAACAGGCCCGTGTGGTGGGAGTTTAAACCGCCAGGTCTAAACTCTAGAACTCTTGAGCTGGGAAGGACCTTGGAGAGCACCTAATGAACCCTCCCTTTCCCTGTCCCCTATTGCAGTGATGAAAAGAAGCCTGTCTTCTAGA